AGCTTGTAGTCGTGTGAGATACACCCCAATATTATTACCGACCCTCATGTTCTCATGTTACAGGGCTATCACCCTAATCCTGTTGTCTTTCCATGACATGGAGCAGGGACCTACCTATTTTACGCAAGGTTCTCAGATTCCATCGTGCCAAATACAATACTGAAAGGAACCTCTGATGGCAATCTGTGAATAGCGGGGCCTTTGATGACTTTCCTGGACGCTATCCCTGCCGCTCCCATGCAATTCCTTGATGTTCTGTTCGACAGACGTCGATTGGTTAGTCATTGTAGCTTCAGGGCGGGACTCGTTGCAAACGGTTGTCATCGTACTAATCGAAGCAGTGGCCTCTCTTTAAGCTTGGGCGTCACAGGAGGTCGACCTTACCGTGGAAGGTCCTTAAGAAAAATCGTTTGACCATGTTTTCTCACCGATCGGCTGATTATTGTGTAATGGTAGCCCAGTTCACTTATGATGACACGAGAGAACAACCCTATAGAATACATGTACATTCTCTGCACCTTTGATGTTCTCATTCGTGCCATGTTCACAGTAAAGGATCAAAACCTTGAAAAACAGCAGATTCAAATAAAAATGATTCATGCCTGAACAATCTACATTTCGTGAGATGTTGCATGTTGATTCCACAACGCTGACGTCATCATCAAACGTGAAGAATCCCATTCTTACAAGGGAGCACAAGTCTGGTCATATTCATCATTGCCAATACCAATGAAATGAACGGTTGTTATTTCCTATCTCCGTGGGTTTCTAACCTTTTTCTATGCGCTTAACAAATCTCTGTACTGAATAAACAACAAATATATAATACCGTTAGATTTTCGAACTGATTTGTTCCGTTAACATTCTGTTGACATACTTAGGTATGGGGAAAAAGTGCATAATGCGATTAAACCCATAGCAGTACCCAAATGCATTTGGGGTATACATAAATATATCAACACTCAAGATGTATGACTTCAAAAGATATGCACTTCATTTTTATGATGCTTGTGCTTTCCATATTCCATATTTAGAATAGGTCTTCAGCAACCCATGCTTGCCGTAAAAGGTGACTATGCTTGTCGTAAAAGGCGACTAACGGGATCGGGTGGTCAGGCTCGCTGACTTGGTTGATAAAGGTCATCGATCCCAATTGCGTGGATCGATGCTCATGATGTCAATCACTGGATTGTCTGGTCCAGGCTTGATTATTTTACAGACCGCCGTCATATAGCTGGAAGATTGCTGTGTACGGCGATTAACAACAAACAAACAAACATACTGATCTATTGAAATGATCATTATTTTGGGCCTAATACACATACATATTCGTGATATTCGACATTAGGACAGTGTAAAAAATAACACAGCAACAGAATGCAATCTTGTCTGTACTGATTATAATTTAGATAAGGGCGATAAAAACATTTTATTTAGGCAAACATGCATTATTACGAGTTGGTTGAATGTGATCAGCTTTGACAGTGAGTTGGAGAGTGAATCAGTTGAGTCATTTTCTGCACATTAAAGAAATCTTCGAGTTTCAGTTTTTCACTCAGGTCACAGTTGAAATCCCCAGTAACTAGGACATGTTCACATTCATGCTGCTCGGAGAGATCCTGAAGTTTTTGCATGAAATCACTGAGTGAATGCGACAATTGTGTCCATGACACTTGTGGGGGCACATAACACAACCAATGCAGATCTTGCCAACAACACAGGAAATGACTTCAATACTGCGAGATGACAATACATCACATAGCTGGACACTGTTCTTAAAACTTTTTGAAACATACACAGCAATACTATGTGTCTCCTGGATAGGCTTGATATCCTGGAGGTCTCTTTCACTGTAATCATTGATGTGAGTTTCTGTGAAACACAAAACATAACCACACCAACAAACTTATCCTTCTCAAGATCTTCGAAATAAGCATTGAGGGATCGAACACCTTGATTATCAAGTTGAAACAAAATTACACTGTGCATATATCTAAACACTAGTTTCATTCGCAAGTAGTCAGGCTGCGAGTAACTGAGTTGCGTTAACACAGTGACTGGTATAAACGGTTATTCTGTTACATTATATGCGTGTCAGCTTGGAAGCAAGTCGTAAACGTTTACTGCTTTGAAGCCCACGAGCACGTGTACCACGCTGACAGACCTGGGATCCTCATTGCTGTGAATCTAGGATTCGACACCCAACCACCGAATCCTTGCACCTCAGATCACTGTGCCAGCCAAGGTCAAGTGACTGTGAAAATAACCCAAACATAACATCCATATGCACTGCAAAACAAATATTCGCGGTGTTCAATGAGTATGAATTTATTTCTTGATAAATATCATGTCCTGAAACATGGCTTTCAAGAAACGCAAATTGCATCCTTCAAATACTGCGTTGTATTGATATATATCAAAGCATTCTTTATATATTGGGTTTAATTTAACATTTATCAAAAAATTCCCGCGGTGGGTTCAGTTGTCATTGAAGCCAGTGAAGTCACAAAGTATTTCAGGACGCCGTGGCATTCCAGAGTGATGTCATGTAGGTCTCATTAGTGTTTAGAAAGTCAGTGCAATTAAACATTACCAACGACTACCCTACAACAGCAATATGATACCACATACATGTACACCGCTGTTGTCATGTCGATCCCGGTATAGTTACACCACCAAGTATAATACAACACACATGTACACCGCTGTTGTCATGTCGATCCCGGTATAGTTACACCACCCCGTATAATACCACATACATGTACACCGCTGTTGTCATGTCGATCCCGGTAAAGTTACACTACCCAGTATAAAACCACATACATGTACACCGCTATTGTAATGTCGATCCCGGTATAGTTACACCACCCAGTATAAAACCACATACATGTACACCGCTATTGTCATGTCGATCCCGGTATAGTTACACCACCCCGTATAATACCACATACATGTACACCGCTATTGTCATGTCGATCCCGGTATAGTTACACTACCCAGTATAATACCACATACATGTACATCGCTGTTGTCATGTTGATCCCGGTATAGTTACACCACCCGGTATAATACCACATACATGTACACCGCTGTTGTTATGTCGATCCCGGTATAGTTACACCACCCAGTATAAAACCACATACATGTACACCGCTATTGTCATGTCGATCCCGGTATAGTTACACCACCCAGTATAATACCACATACATGTACACCGCTGTTGTCATGTCGATCCCGGTATAGTTACACCACCCAGTATAATTCCACATACATCGTAAATGCCAAGTAAATCACTGACAATGGTATTGCTATTTCTCCAGATGTTATTGACTGTATACCACTGTAAGCTTTGCGGTCTGTCTGTGTTCGTAATACGCCTCTGTTCACCAAGCTGTTAATGGGTACCCCGTAGGATGAGATGGTAATATGACTTTTAACCTTTTAGCGCCTCACAAACAGCTTAGGCTGTACAATCCCCAGGGAGCTTGGAATGAATATATGAGTGGACACAGATCCATTGTTCGGGGTAATATATATTGTCAATCCAAGAGAATAACCTGTTAAGGTTACCCGCTGAAACAGATTTCATTCTGGGTAAAGGACAAAATATCTATGAAAATTACATGAATGGACCACTGATAATCAGTGATGACACCAGGTGTTCGCTAAAATAACATGTAACAGCGCCTCTTAGTAGCACTGGTGGGATATTAGGCGCTGCAAAAAACAATTATGGTTATATGTTTGTATCATTATATCACTGATTAAAAGGTAGCACTGTTCCCACTGTTACAACTGTTATTAAAATAACAGATGTGTCGTTGATGCTACATTGAGCCTTGTTGTTGGCCTTGAATTTCACTGATAATGTCAGTCTTGCTAAATGACCCAATGGTGCTATTTTATCACAATGAACCTTGTTCTCAGGTAGATCACGGAACATATATTGCTATAACACCAAAGGATGTTACGGTATAAGCCACAGCGAACCGCGGAGCCACAGACAACTAGGGCACCCCTGACCCGCTGATGGAATGCAGGAGTGAGTAGGTTGCGCTTTATATCACTTTTAGCAATATTCCAGCCAGATGTACGCAGGTGATACCAGACTTAGCTTCACACATTATCTATGTGAGGAATCGATCCCAGGCCTTCAGCGTAAGGAGGAAACGCCACTAGGCTTGCATTAGTGTCGACAGAGGAACATAAATATATATCATACAGCATATATTAGTAATTAAGGTGATCGTTGGTTGAATAATTCATCTTCCTAAGTAATGTTCGCTTTCGCCACCAAACAAGACAAAATTATAACTATCGAGGAAGATATCGAGCGGTACCCAAAGGCTCGAAGACCTAAAGTAACACGTGACCTCAATACGTAATTTAATTTCGCACACGACACCAGTGTTATCAAAACAACAGAATCTCGATTGAACGTAGCTCGCAAACAAGTAATGTTAGTCTTGTTTGGAGGATTTTAGCAGCGTTTGGAATGAACGCTCGATGACTTTCATTCAAAAAGATCGATGTTGATGGAAGAAAGAACAAAGAAGAAAGTTTCATGTCCAATCAAAATACAAAACCACATACAAAAATATGTTGTATCATTTGAAGTGTTGGGGAAAACATTTTGTTTGTCTATCATATATTTAATTTGTATTGATAATCTCACAAGATCCAGTGCCTCAAACCAACACAAATGAAACATACGAATATACGCGTTTTTATGTGTACATTGTACATAGGACCCGTGAAGATCCGGGTCAGAATTTGTCTTGAGCAACCCAAGACGCGACAAACGGGATCTTGTGGTCAGGCTTGGTTGATGCATATCATCGTATCCCAGTTACGTAGATTGTTGCTCATGATGCAAATCACTGGACTGTCCGTGCCAGACTCAATTATTTACAAACCGCCGTCAAATAGCTGGAATATTGATGAGTGCGGCGTTAAACAACAAACAAACAACATTGTACATAAAAAACGAGCAAAATATGTACCTTAAACACCCTTTATTTATCTGAAAAAGCGTTCTCCTCTGGTACCGGAAGTGTCAACTCTACTTCCTGTCGCCGCCATTACCACTCATCATCATGCCGGGCATCATGCTCTGCATGTTACTGAGGTATGTCTGGCCGAAGTCGTTGGAGAAGAGTCGACCGGCAGTTGCTCCACATTGGCTGTTGACGCGACGAAGCAGGTGTTGGAAGATCCTGAAATTACAGATCGGTTAAAATGTATAGACTTCTTAGTGAGTGAGTGAGTGAGTGAGTGAGTGAGTTGAGTTTAACGCCGCTTTTAACATTATTCCAGTTATATCACGGCGTGTCAGCTTAATGTGGGAGGAAAGCCCGAAGTGATGGAGGTCTCAGACGTTTACCACTTCGGTGAAACCCACGACACGGGTATGGTGCTGACAAATCTTGAAACACAATCATAGGTTTCTGGCGTGCCCAATGGACAGCGAATCGTGGCGCCTTAGACGACTGGGCCACCCGTGCCCTCTATAGACTTCTTAAGCCTGAATATGTAAATACATTATAATGTCTGCGGATCTGTTTTCCGAGCATTTTACTCTTTCATAGATATGTTTTCTTTTTAAATCACTTATTAACTTCAGAGCCAAATAAAGAGTTAACTGCTAAACACAGATATGAGGGCTTTCCATTACAGGCCACGTCAGAAAGACCTTTCGTGAATTGTTATTGACCAATGAAATGACTAACGAGAAGTCGGCATACTCTAAGCCGTATGGAATTAGTATCAAACTTGTGATTGGTCGGATGAAAGGTCGTTCAGACTGATCCATAATGGAATGCCCTCATATCTTGTGTAGCGGTTGCGAGAGCTAAGATCTGATTTTAATGAGATTTAAATCTCCATCGATGAATGATTCTTACAAATTATGTTACCTATATTAAATGTGTGTGGATGCTTCAAATACACGTAGTAAAGGAAAAGAAGGGTTTACGGACGAACATTTTATGTGGTCAGTTTTAGATAAAAGCCGTGTAGTAATGTTTGTTTCAAAGTATGTACATTTATTGCATTATGATCATCTAGATGTTCATAATAGGAATCGCTCGGAAAGAGAATTTCCTGGAATATTACAGTTTCACTAAATATGGTATGGAAGACATATTTCCAGATTTTCCGAGTAAGTATGTTACTACGTTTGTTCAGAATATTTTAAACAACACGATGTATGCATCACACCACACAAAACGCATGGGTAACTACACTGCAGAAAAAACAGCTCTCCGAAATTTCCATTTTGGACATTTAAAAATTCACGTTTGATGAAATCTACGTACTTCATGTTGTATTCCTCGTAGGACATAATATTCTGGAAGATGGAGGCGAGGCCAACAGAGTTGTCGCTGTTCTCGATGACGTCACAAAGGGTGTGGTTCTGGTACAAACAATCCCAGATGATGTCCTCAGTGAGAAGGATCTCTTCAGCCTTAGCGTCAATCTGAGAGCACCTGCGGCTGTCAACCACCTGTAGGAGGCGCTTCTGGGTGCACTTCCGGTAGTTTAAGATGTACCTGTTGCCCTGAAATTATTAGAATTAAGACGGTAATGATTAACATGTCATCCGTAATAATGTCTTTTAAAGAATGCATACTCAATTTATATCTATGCCACACATGCTCTGAAACCAGGGATTACGAAACTGGATGGATAAACAAAGTATAATCCCATGTTTGATGGTGGCTAAAAATGAAACAAACAAGATATGGTTATACGATGGTAATGTATTCGATACGGGTATCACTCTTGTGTTTTGAACCTTACGTTTGCAGAGCTTTGGTGACTATTTTCAGTCTAGTAACGTTTTGATAACGTTTGTAATTGTTTGGTTAAAATAGATTTACAAGTGTGTACTTTCTTTTGCCCGGCAGTTTACCTTTAGTAAGTGAATATTTTTTTTTAAATTGCCAATACTTTCAAAACGAACCGAGTGTAAGTATTCAATAACTTTCTTGACTCCCCCATTACAAAGATAGTGTTGACAATTCTCCTTTAATCTCGAACTCAATTACAATGGACGCAAGAAAGGGTATGTTAGCCAGGAAGGTTGTCAATCCGCCACTCATTTTCGGATTAAGAAATTCACAGATACATTTTTTGTTGGCAATAAAGTCAGTCTCATTTCAACAATCTGCTGCAAGTTGACGGATTAGAAACATTTTGCATGGGGCTTTTAAATATATACAGTTATTCTCAAATATTTATATTAGTATCAAATGGTCAGTCTCTAATAATGCGAAAATGGGACGTCTATACCGTTTTATTTGGGAACTAACCGACATAGTCTTAGTTGACGATTCATTTAAACAAGGCAGAGTTTATTTGTGTTGGACATGAGGTGATATCTTTTATTAATATTTTGGTTGTGATGGTGGTTGCCTGTTTATCATCGTTATCATCAACATCATCTGATGTCCACACAAACCTCACATGCATTGTCCAGAAACCATGAAACGTTGTTGTCTCTATGTCAACCTTGATAGTTTCTCCATTATACTTCATTATACAATAAACAAATAAACACGATAAACAAAAAGTACCAACCCTGAAATCAAACTGGTTCTGATCCTGGACTTCCTCGGATTGGATACACACAGAGGCGAGGGCCTCGAATGCTGGAGAGTCGCCCAATCTGCACACCTGCTGGGTGTTAAAGAAGCACACATAGAACGTGCAGTCACCGTTGGCACTGAGATCGCGACAGAGCTCGCGGCCACGGGGCGTTTCCGGGGTGGTGGTTGTCGGGGGGGTCGTGGTGGTGGAGCGACGCGTTGTAGGCGTCTCTGCACAAAGAAATGATGACAAGCATAAACAAACAATTTCACATGTGCATGTTGGAGGGAGATATATTGTCTTTAAATGGCGTTTATTTTTAAGCATGAGATTCCTGGTTACGTCCTGTTGGGGTAAACCAGGTGAGATGAGTACCCTATGGCTGTCGTAACTGCCCACATTATGGGGACCGGGTAGTCAGGCTCTGTGACTTAGCTGATGTTGAGTCATCATATCTTGATGGCGTGGGTTGTTGCCCTTGCTTTCAGTCTCTGGTTTGCCTTGTCCAGATTTGATTATTAGCAGATTTTTCCTAGCTGTAATATTGCTGACAGCAGCACAGAACATCATTGCTTACACAGGGGGGACGGAAGAATAGAAATGATTTTTAAAATACAACAAACGATTACATCATCCTCTCATAAAGTCAAAGATGACACATCCCGTGAAGATCCGGGTTAGAATAAGTCCCTTAGCAACCCATGCAACTATGCTTATCGTAAGAGGTCACTAACGGGATGGAGTCGCTGACTTGGTTGGTGCATGTCATCGCATCTCAAATGCATAGATCGATGCTCATGATGTGAATCACTCGATTGTCTGGTCCAGGCCCGATTATTTACAGACCGCCGTCGTATAGCTGGAGGTAGCCTAGCCTAGTGGTTAAAGCGTTCGCTCGACACGCCGAAGACCCGGGTTTGATTCCCGACATGGGTACAATGTGTGAAGCCCATTTCTGGTGTCCCCCGCCGTGATATTGCTGGAATATTGCTAAAAGCGGCGTAAAACTATACTCACTCACTTACTCACTCGTGTAGCTGGAATACTGCGTGCGGCGTGTAACAATTAACAAACAAACAAAATCACCACGTTTCGTCCAGTATAACCCACCTGCAGGCCATGGGTCCCTCGTTGTCCTCGCTGGTCGCCGACCATAGAAGGCAGAAGAATGAGCCACGCAGGCTACAAGGACGAGGAGACAGACCTGGACTTTCATAGCGCTTCTACAGAGAGTTCTCGTTTGAAGAGGCTGAGTTTCACGTATGTATCTCATTTATACCCTCGTGTAAGAGGAAGAACTTAAAGGTGCATTTGGAATAAAGTATAATTGGTTGAACGCAACTCATTCGTGTTCTGATTGGATCCCTCCAATGCATCTGTGGACCGTGGTTTGTTGAATTTGTGTGGGATTGGTAGAGGAGGAAGTTAAACAAATCAGACTAGTTAAACGGCGCGATTATGTTAAACCGTGTGAGCAAATACGCTTAGCTAAGAGCACGCTCATGCAACATTTTTTTAACTAACTGTGATGGACGATACTTGCATGTACCAACTTCATTTGTTTGATATTACGGAAGTTTTAACCCAACAATTGAGATTCTGTTTTAGATGTCATATATCAGTTAAATATGATAATATAATAATTTATATTCTTTCTTTATATTTGTAACATTCCATGGTCGTATAAGGCATTTGAACTGTGCGTTTCCCTTACATTAAAATTGACGTTGGCGGGAGAGAAAATGAATGTAGATTTTATTTCAGGATATTTTATGCACGGATATGACTGGGATTAGGAACAAGTTAAAAGCATAGGGACCCTGCTCCCGGCAAAGTTTATCTTCTATCGAACATTTACATACTACAGAGACCGCTAAAATAACGTGAATATATACACATCAAAGTTTTGTTTGTTTGTGGTTTAACGCCGAACTCAGCATATATGACGGCGGTCTGTAAAATAAAAGAGTCTGGACCAGACAATCCAGTCATTGACATCATAAGCATCGATCAACGCAATTGAGACCGATGACATGCATCAACCAAGTCAGCGAGCCTGACCACCCGATTCCGTTAGTCGTCTCTTACGACAAGCAGAGTCAAAGAATTGCCCCAATCGTATATGTTTGTGTTAAGGGGCAGTGGAGCAGCTAGGTGGTGTTTAAAACGTAGGCTTTTGAAGACTGAAACTGCAGGTTCGATTCCCAACATCGAGTGGTAGAGCGTCTGCGACTTTCTTCTTGCCCTGCCTGTCTCTCCCTCCAACCCCCCCCCCCCCCCCCCCCCCACACACACACACACATACTCTCTCTCTCTCTCTCTCTCTCTCTCTCTCTCACACACACACACACACACACACACATACTCTCTCTCTCTCTCTCTCTCTCTCTCTCTCACACACACACACACACACACACACACACACACACACACACACACACACACACACACACACACACACACACACACACACACACACAAACACACACACATGCCCGTCGCTATATACATGTAAGTGCCATAATCTTGAACGCGACGTTAAACCTCACTTCACCAGGCCCAACAATGTGTGAAACCATTCGTGGTGTCTCCGGTTGTGATTTAGCTGGACTAACACTAAACGATTGATGATGGTGATGATCAGTGACTGCATCATTCATACGGGTAATAAGATTAATCAGACTAAATTGTGTAATCATATGTGCTGTCGTTCTGACACGTGCAAACAATGCGTTGATTCAATGTACTTTTACTTTCCATGCCCGTTGTTATATAACGGATGATTTAGTTTGCTATTACGTGACAATATTGTATACTTTTTAAACTATAACAATAGGGTGAGTTTGATTTTACGCAGTTTCTAACAGTATTTCAGTTCTATAACGGCGTGTCAGTTTGCAGTGTAAAGAAAACCCGTAGCGTAGAAGTTTACCACATAGCAGCCAATCTAGGATTCGAACCTAGGATGGGTATCTGGGACGCCAAATGAACGCATCGCTAAACACCGCGACTGATCACCCGTGCCCCCTAAGGATCTTATAATACATAACCAAAGACCTAAATAAGAAATAAACATTTTAAAAACTGTTCTTCAATAGTTCAATAGCTGCTACATAGATATATATAAAACTGAATTTCTTTTTGTAAGTTTATTTTAAAATTTAAAAAAAACATAGTTATCTCGAACATCATCAACTCGTCGTATAAGACGACGTCATGGTCCGAGAAGATTTTTTATTGATTATAGTGTTTCATTTGACTACGCTTGTTTCGAATTCGGGAACATTTAAATGGTTTCCAGAACTTCGAGTTGAAGAAGTTTTGCTATATTTGACGAATTCTGTAATTAGATACTAATTTAAAATGTTACACGTCAGCAATATATAAATTATGTTTCTCGTGACGGTTTTTTTCTCAAATTGTCTGGTCAGGTACAATTTGTCATAGTAATTATAGTGAGAGGTCTGTGTTTGCAATCCCCTGCGTTGAGTACATATCCCCTTGTTGGTACAGGGGTGTTGGCGCTGTTATACACGCCGCAAGATTACTTCTGTGGTTTAACTTTTCAACCAACGTTCTCATTGGTTATGCGTGCGCATACTCATCGTCCTCGTGTTTACGTTCTGCTAACACGCCGTGGTCATGAGGTGAAACCCAATATTGAAACAGTACGCTTGCGTCACTGCTCTGATTCACTGTTGATACATACTGTATACAAAACTTCACACGGAAATAAGAAATATGTTTAAAACGAGCACGTATACAATCACCCAATCTAGATATACATTTCCATCAATAATACTTTAATGTAAGACGGAGAGATACAATATGATAGATGTTTCATTTTGCATTAGAAAGTCGCACTTCTGTAATAAGATGAAAGATGATATTTCTAAAACAAGCTAAATATTCTAGATTATGAGATGGTATGCAGCACGCTTGGTGAACGATAACAATGCTTGAGTGAACACCCTTATCTGAACTATTCAAATAGTGGCAATATGCCTTTTTATAAGCAGCTGGGGCGTGTTGGCCGTTAGGTATATTCGTCTAAAAATGAACCGCTTCGAGCATGCAAATCATGTGCAGATAAGTATTTTCTAATAGACCCTACATTGAGTAGTACCACAACGCAGGGAAAAATAGGGAAATGAACATTTAATATTACTTATATGCAATTAAATCCGAATATAACTAACCCCAAATTTAACCCGTTTCATCCGAATTTTTTACTTGGCATGAGCATTAACGTTATTTCCTTCTCCTTTGGGGAAAGAAATGGGTTCGATACAACCGGGGTTCGATGTAACAGACTTTCTAGGATTATTACGTTAATTGCTTTTCCGGGGTTAGAAATTGAGCTCGATGTACAGTGTCTCGTTATATCCGAATTTCGAGGACAATTACAATAATTGTTCCAAGGTTATGGTGATCATTGGGTTTGAAATAACCAAAATGGTGTGTCTGTATTTCGTGTTTTGCGTAAACACATACGTTATGATTGCTTCTTCCAGGCTAAAATTCGTATCGATAAAACCTAGATTTTATGGATCCTAATTTAGTATTTTGCACCAAAATATTATTTGCAATATTTTGTGGTTAATACAGTATAAGGGCGAAATAACAGAGATTCGCTGAATTTCATGTTTTGCATGAAGAACTTCGTCATCCTTCGAGGATAGAATTGGGTTGATATAACCGAGATTTGTTGTATTGGAATGTCGAAATTAGAAGAGGCTTCGCTACACCCAAGATTTGCTATATCCGAATTTCATGTTTCGCAAGAATGATAACGTGAACTGCTTCTTGAGTTAAAACTTGAATTTTTAATTGACCGAAATCCGCTTTATCCGAATGAACAATAACGTTAATTGTCATACTTCGAGTTTACAATTGGCTTCGACACTACCGAGTTCGCATTATCCGAATTTCGATGATACATGTAATAACGGTATTTGCTTCCACTGCGGTGTTACAATTGAGTCTTCTATAACCGACATACCAATTGGGTTAGAACCGGAGATAACTGAACGATGTATTTATGTAGGAACTGGCAATCATCGAGACAAATGTATAGAATATATATGCCGTTAAATAAATTGAAATATATAAATATATGTTACATTTGTACAACTTAAGAGATTTAAGAGATGGTAGTAGTAGAAGTTGTAGTAGTAGCTGTAGTTTGTTTGTTTGTTTGTTTCTTTGTCTGTTTTTAACGCCACACTCAGCAATATACCAGCTATAATCGAGTCTGGACACGACAATCCAGTGATTGACATCATGAGCATCGATCCACGCATATGGGATACTATAACGTGTGTTGCTGACCTATTCTAGGGTCAGCAATAGTAGTAGTAGTAGTAGTAAAGTGAGCACGTGCTGTTATGATAATGGCGATTGTCTGGTTATTTGTTGTTTTACGCCGCAATCAACAATATTCTTGCTATTTTAAGGCGGCTTGTAAATTACGGAGTCTGGACAAGACAAAACAAATAGTCTTTCGGTCGTTTGTTCGTGTATTTATTTACTTTTACCTTCCACTTTAAATGTTCGAGTAAAAAGAACAGACACACAGTGGAGTATGATAACTTTATGACGAAGAAAGTCTTCTACAATCGGTCTATCATTATGACAGCCATGAACACAAAACAATAAATTCCTCTAAATGAAAATATAAGCGGCAAAACCCTTTTCATAATCATAAGAAGGCCTTTGCAGAATTCCGGCTATATCATAAGCATGCCTGTGACGATACCAAGTGCTCTGCGGGTAGTGTGACCTAAAATTGAGCATTTAAAACAGAAATACAAACATCACGTGATCACATTATATCTCAACTGATTTTCAAGCAAATATAGATTATTCCTTGATCCAGATCTCACAATGGCGCTTATCACGAATCTGCGCAAGATTCTTATCTGTATATGACCAATCGAACGATTCCCAAAAGCTGAAACATCTAACGAAAACGGTTTTACGCCGCTATTAGCAATATTCCAGCAATATAACGGCCGGGGACACTAGAAATGGGCTTCACACATTGTACCCATGTCGGGAATCGAACCCGGGTCTTCGGCGTGACGAGCGAACGCATTAACCACAAGGCATACATACAATATTGCCCAAACCGTTAACCCTAAACCACTCACTAACACAAGAATAAAACCCATTTTCTGAAATTTAGAATTGTGTTGGTATGCATGTAAATACACCAATTACCAATATTCCAAATCATTTGGTTATATTTGCATAAAGGCTTAGTTTGCGAATGTTTGGACATGTTGTAAAAATGCATTCATTTACATCAGTGCGTTATATGTAAATAAACATGAACAATTAAGTGCTTACTTTTATGAACAAAACAAGTGATCCTCTGAACAGGCATGAATATAGCAAGACAATCCTTTTCAAAGACAGTCTTTGCAAACACTTTCACAAAATTAGTTCCAAAAAATTCTGGTGTTATAAGTCGTTGATGCTACGTACAGCACTGTAATGATATATTTACACCCTGTACATCAAAGAAACACGTCATGAAAAATAGTGTCCTTCAAAGCCCATCGTCCGTCAAATCAATAGAAGTGGTAGTACCACACTAGTTGGTAATGATTATACTTGAACGAACCATTTTGGATGTCTCGGAACCAAATGCCTCTCCTGTAATTTCAACAACCTCAAGTCTGTTGAAGTGTCCAGTTATGTAGTCAACAGGTGCGTTCAGCACAACTGTGATAACTTACGATATCAAAAATTGGCTGTGGACATCACCGATATTGTAAATGTGCGGTCCGATCACCTCTGTAGTCTATTGAGGTATTAAAAAACAGGATGCATTCGCGCATTTACGCTGAAGATATTTCTATCATATTGACTGTTCAAGTATATAGTGTTGAATACACAATCTCAGTTTGGGAGCTATTGGGTCTGACAGTATTAGTTTAATATATAAACAGACGGCCAAAAGAATCATTACCATATTTTGAAATCACTTTAGTTTTACAAACACAATAGATGGATGATGATTGAAAGGGTGCATTAAAAAGATCAAAATCTCAACAAAATCAACATTTAAAATGACAGTCATACAGAATCCGATATTGTCATGACAGTTGCCCGGAAGTTGGGGAGGGGGTGGGGGGAGGGGGTGGGGGGAGAAAAAAGGTTTTCATCGTAATGGACAAAAGGCACAGACGTCACGTTGGATACCTCGAACGTCTCCTTGGAGGGCCTGGATCAGTTCGCGTAGGTTGCATGAAGGATGCGGTCGCTGTCCAACACGACGATCCATGACATCCCAGAGGTGTTCTATGAAGGACATATAAGGGGAGTGTGCAGGCCACGGCAACACGTTGACGTTTTTGGCTGCAAGGAAGTTCTGTACGATTCGGGCTGTATGGGGTCTGGCGTTGTCATGCTGATAAAGGACAACCACGTGGCAGCTGTTGGCAGGACAATCGGGCGAAGAATGTCACCATGTGACGCTGAGCTGTCAAGTGTCCTTTAAAGATGACTGTGGTGTTCTCTCCTCCCCACAACTTCCTCCCAGTACCATAACTCCCCATCGGCCACACGGCAGGACCTCTCCGGGACGCAACATGCCACCGTTCGTTCTCGCCTTCGGAAGTACATTGTCTTCAATCAGCTCTGAACAGATATAACCGGCTTTCATCAATGAAGACGACCCTCTGCTGCCAGCCACGTCGCTGCCAACGACGAACATTCCTAGCCCATGTAATCTATGGCGACGATGTTAGTCTGTCAATAACAGCCTCTTTAAGGTATGTAAGCCCTAATTCCTTGAGGTCTGAGTCGCCTGTCGACTTACCATATGCCTTAAGGCATTCGTCGCTGATGTCATCAATGTCAGGAATCGATTTCTGATATGCAAAGTACGCAAGTACCGGTCTTCATTGGGCGTTGTTACCCTAGGTCTGCCTGTTCTTGGCATGTTTGATGTCTACCCAGTCTGTCTGTAACGTTGCATCAGGTTAGTTACAGCAACACGAGAGCAACCAAAAGTTCTATCAATGTGGGCATGGGTGGCTCCCATCTGCATCATACCAAGGTCCTGCTCTCGTTGTTCGGGTGTCAGTCGTGGCTTTATCAGTTTAAGTGTCTGACATGCCGTCCTTGTCATTTATATACCCTTTTTGCACTTACAGTTTTGGCTGCCCAAGGGTTTTTTCTATCTTGTTCGCGTAGAGCATTATGGTTTTGGACGATGTGTTTTGCATTTATTTAGTTTGAACTTTGGTTTTAAAATGTTTGCAGTTTCATGTTTGAAATAGTAAAGTATCTTTTGGCCGTCATTTTTAATATAATACACAAACTTATTTAACATATTGTTGATGTGAAATTCGAATTATCAATGATTTAAGATTTACTGAATAGGTTATTACAGATAGGAGTTCAAATGTCTGAATGACTGGTATACTAGTTGCGTTTCATGTTCATGTAGTCATTACATGTCATACAAGCAGGCACATTCTTGGTATCAATAATCGTGTACATGCTCAATTAGTTCTTATCTTGTACATTGTCAATAAAGGAACATTATCACTGCCACAATCGCGATCGTTCACTTCTGTTCCCTAAGTCTGTAAAAACATTCTGGTTCTACTAGATGGTTACTGTAAAATAACATGGCTTATCGGGGTTGTTTCATGTACTCGAGGTTATGGGAATAACTGCTGAAACATATGATAAGTGTAATTAAAGCTTCCTGAGCCTTGGTCTTTTCTTTGTACTAATAACCAGGTTTCACTGACTGTGTTCAAATGGTAACAATAGTATCAGTCCCACACAGAGACTAACATCAAAACATGGAGGTCAGGAAAGTATGTCACCTTCAAGGCAATGGGAGACATGAGTCGGAAGGAATGTCCTTGCTGTGGACTTACTGACCTCAGTCTGACCAGAAATAAATAGGACCGCTATTTGATCTCATTTAGCTTTGTGTGTGCGTGCGTGCGTGCGTGCGTGCGTGCGTGCGTGCGTGCGTGCGTGCGTGCGTGCGTGCGTGCATGCATGTATAAATGTTAAAGGAGGATATGCTATAGATTTGGGTAATAGAAGATGGTATTTATTTGAGATATTTACAGTAAAATCCTTTCTAGCCTATATTTATTGGGCTTCTCCATGTCTGGAAGAATTGATCTATCAGTACTCTATCTACAATTGAGCCTAGCAACTTTGTATTTAAGTCCCCAGGTATGATAAAACTTCGCTGAGTCCACATGATTTAAGTAAACCTTCTACAGAGTTAAACCAGTTTCACTGATAAGTGCTAATATTGGCATCCATTTTGATAAAATCACTAACTAGTTTTGTTAATGTAACTTCTTCAGTATGCGTTACAGTGTTATGCCAGAAACCTATAACTTGACTACTTCTATACTTAAGGGTGATCTGCCTAGATCGCCGTATACTATCTAAGTGGGTGCAGGTATTTTTAATCCGGTAGCTAATCTTAAACATTTTTTGTTGGACCTTTTCGAACAGATTTGTTTTCGGTTCCCCATACTTCAGAGGCATACAACAAGGTAGTTAAAATGATAACATCAAAAAAGTACAGTCAAGTGGAAGAAGAATATTGCGTGCTTTTTTCAGAGCATAATACATGCATTAGCGGCATTCTCTGAGAGGGACTTTACAGCAAACACAAATGTTCTACTTTTATGGAATTTTATGCCTAAGTTATTATAGAAATCAACAATTTCCAGCTTACTATTACATACGTCATATTTTAGTAATTTTGACCAAAGCCCACCCACCCCAACACTAGTACTGTAGGGGATAGTATGTGATTAAAATAAAAGTAGCTGGTTAATCCTAAGTTTGGAATACCAGTAAAGAGCTCACCAATGCAAACTCGGTATTGTGATAGGACGGTAATTGTTTGGACCAGATGGGTTACCTTTTTGCTTATATATTTGGCTCAATTATGCCAGTGAGCCTAGGGATAATACATGTGGAGAAAAGTTGTGTGAGGGGTGGCCCCAATATGTCAAAAGCATCAATAAGGTAAATATTGTCAATTAGATCTAGGCCACGTGTTTTGTTTCATGAGTTTAATCCCCTCTCGGATTTCATCCAACAAAACTCTCTATTCAAAACAGTAGTATCTTAAGTGGCCGTTTCAATTGAATATGTTAGAATGTCGTCATTAGGTGTGTCTGAATTTATATCTTTAATAAGTTATAAATAAAGCAACAAACCCTTTCCATATCAAATAGATGTTATGTTATGCCAGTATACAGCTGTAGGTGACATCTTTAGAGAAATATTTATGTTATACAATAATTGGTGAAACATGTGATATATTATAAAATTATTGATATTTCTCTGAAAATAAAGGATACAATAATAAATGAAGTACAGACTCATAAACATTTAGGAGTACATTATTTTGAAAACACGTAGTACCCATGTAGCTTGGTTCAGACACTGTCTTTCTGCGTCTAGACATGCATCTGATTGAGAACGAAGAAATCCAGATAGCTGCTCATTGAAAGTATACATGGAAATGATTAATTTTATTATAGACATATACTGAACCGCAAAAGAAACGTCATCCTAAGTAACATTGCATGAAAAGTTGTCATTTAAATATCTGGGTAATTTTTGTCAAAGTTTCTGAAATTTAACATTACCTTGTCCGGACAAATGAAATTTGATGATAAAAAACAAAGCAGATGACAATAAAACCGATCGCCCAAACGCCTCATGGCAACGGCCATGGTAGCCCGATGCACGTGAGTTCCGTGCAAATTTAAATGC